ACAATTACTCCATTCACACACAGAAGAAGGCAATGGCAAACCACTTCTGGATCATCTGCCAAGAACGTATATGAACAAGTCCCAGTCCGAGAAAAGGATGGAAGGATCCTGTTCATATGGACCTGTCGTCAGACAGAACACTAAATAATAATAATAAAAAAATATATATATAACCACAATTTGGAATGGTTAAATTAACAAATAATAATTATAAAGATAATAATAAAAAACAGTATAGTGTACCTACTAAATGCCTATACGCCCCTGGTACATATGCATATAATCAAGACAGGGTTTTTAGTGACTGTAAATTATTACCAGAGAATAAAGTGGGTCTGTCCGCAGGAAAACTGGTGTGAGCATACCCGAGAACCAGGTCAATCAGCAGCCCTAGCTACACGCCATGGTATTATATCTCTTTGGCTGCGTGACCGAGTACGTGTCGATATGACGATTGACCAAGCTGTTAGAATAATAAATTTCAAGGTAAACGTTTCTTCAACCCTTAATAAATAAGACAATTTTCCAAATGCATTATAATTGCAGTTAGTTGTAGACATATTATTTTAAAAATTATTCCACTACCTTTATGTGTTTCATCATAAATAATAATTTTAAAGTTCAAGGGTATATAAATGTAATCTCTTAAAAAATCTTTTTTAAACTGCACGAGAATTAGTTATTTGGAAGTTATACTCCTCTTTCGGAGGTTGGCTGTTCACATGTCGTCCTCGAAATGTTTGTTGTAATTATTCTATAGATTTTATTAGTATTGTTTGTATATTTCTGATGAAAGGAAGAATGTTAAGGATAAATAACTGAACCATTTGAATATGAATATGGCGATGATCGCCCCGACGGTGGAGGCAGCAAGGACCTTTCAAATGTTGGTAAACTTCTACCAGACTTTATGATGTAGTTTCACTTACTGCCAGTGGTGCACCGTCAGACCACTGAAATTGGAGGAATATAAAGTAAATGTTTTAATATGCAAAATAACGGCACAGTAACAATAATAACTCCTTAGCATTGTGGTGCGAATGTTGGGTGGATTTATTAATATTTCATTTTTCATGACCTGATTTCTACACCAGGATTCGCCACTGAATTATAAGTAGAAAATTTGACCTAGAACACTATTAGGCAACTGAAGTTAAATAAGGATAAAAACAAACGGTAAACCAGAAACCGGGGCTGAGCGTTCGCAAAGCGCAGACACTACTAATTGACTGCCTAATGCAGAAAATTTGGAACTCATGTTTTTGTTGTTGAAATAACTTCAATTTATACAATCCGGTCAACTGGAGAACACCAATATTTGCATATCATTTAGAAATTCATTATCTTTATCTTTTATGTCTCAACTTTGTTCTGTGGCAAACAAGTAGAATTCCCCTCCACACTGGAGTACATCTGGCTGTAGATGCTCTTCATAAAGTGGGCTATGCAATGCTTATTACCTTGCAGTTTTTAATTCCATGTTTGTTTACTTTTTGCTCTGTGCTGCTGATAGTACCACTGAGTAAACTATGTAAAATAAATACTAATAAGTTCAAAGTCTATTATTTAACCACCTACTACACTTCATGGTATCAGAAACCAGAAGACCACAATCTTCACTTTGGAGATTTCAAGTTGCTGAAGTTAAAAGTAACTTTAATATTAATATATATGTCATTTAATCTAAACAGGCTTTAAAACTATTCCTGAAAAATTACTTATCATATGGTATTAATAATTAACTTCTCCTTCTTTTTGAAGGATCGATGCAGTGTTTGTATGGTTATGACAGACCCAATCTGGAATGCTCGCAAGTATACTGCTATTTCAAATCACCGCAGAAACTTTTAGAAGAGTTTGAAATGGTAAATTCTGTTTATGCTTACGATGCACTAGCACTGCTGGTATGGACTGTACTTTTACAATTATCAGTGCTCATTATATTAAAAATGAGAATTCGTAATTTTCAATGATGTTTATAATCATTTTATGTTTTTAAGATGCCTGATGCACTCTTACATAATGAATCCAGATGCTACCACTATCGCATCATATTGCCTGTATATGCTCAATATCGATTTGTTATCAGTTTTGTGGTTCTGGAAGGTCAATGAACATAATGAAGTCAGTTAATCATAAAAAACTTCTTCTATGGCTCTCCGGTCCGTATTCGGTCCATGGCCTCCTCAATTCTCCTCTTCCATTCGGTCCTCTGTTAGGTCCGTCTGTCCAAGGCTTTGATTGAGGTTTCGAAACATCTTCCTTTTTATGGTGCAAGGTTGTTAGCATTGTGACCAACCCCCAACCTGGAGGACCAGGGTACCTGTCTTAATCTGACCTCTCCCCCTCGACCAATCTGGCTAGGGAGGCTTTACCAGTAGCTCTTGGGGTCACTGAGGTACTCAAGCGCCACCACCATGACAAGGTGCAGGTACCATTAAGTGGGGATTAATAATTAACTAATATACCATAAGTGCAGCCCAGGAACTACCAATATACCTGAACACTGAAGTATAATAATTATTTCTGTGGTGGAGGAAACATCACTATGTATTTCTGGGAAACAGACTCGTGGTGAAATTGTGAATATGTCTAAATCGAGGAAATACCACTATCATGTTTTAGGTTACTTTATTTTGAAGTATAGTGCTTGAAGATTTCATTATTGATTGGATTATTCAATGAACAATTCACAGTAATTGATCTGAATCTTAACATATCAATGGGCTTGATTCAATAGGAACTACATTTAACTTGAGCCCTTCTTATGGATCAACAAAGATATGTTAGCCATAAAGATTATTTGATTTATATGTTGGAAGGAGTTTACAACATAAATCTTTGATGTGTGGATATTTTTGCTTATAGTGATGTTAAAACCTTTAAATAATCCTGGTGAATTTCTAATGCCAACTAACGACATTTAAGTTTTGTGCAATATGCAGTTCATGATGAGTGTAAATTGTTCTGTATTCATTATTTTTCAGAAAATATCAGCAGAATGTAAGGATTGAAATTTTATGGGCAGTTTTGTGTCATTTGTAGAGCGTGAGAATGAAGATTTTGTTTTCTCATTAAAGTAATAAATTCATAATAACTTATGAATACTAATTTTAAATTGTTATTTTAATCCAAAATTTTAAATCTTTTGCAGAATAATATTGTAATGTCTTTGAGCAGCAGTGGATCTGCAGCTGCATTGCTTCACCCCAATGGACGTATTTATCAACATGGCAGTCATGTAGAAATCCTAGTATGTGACGTTCATGGTAATAACAAGTAAGTCACGCTGAGTTCTTAATTTCTGTACTAACTTGAACTAATTAGAATTATACTTGTGATGAAATTAAAAGTATATTAAATTTGCTACTGTGTGTTTTAGACTGTTACCTTCCTGTGTTCTGTCAAAGTGCTTAACTATTAAAATAATCCTAGCTTTACCTGTTATATGAGCACAAAACTTGGTATATCATGCAACAGAAACATAACAGATTCCTCAGTGCTGAGGAAAATATGTGGTCCTGAGAGTGAGAAAGCAACAGCAGAATGGAGAGAATTACTTAATGAAGAGCATCATCATTTTTACTCTTCATCCATATTCTTAAAGTGATTAAATCAGTGACTCTGAGGTGAATGGTACATGAAGTGCATAATTTCCTCTGAAACATTAATTTATCTGTTACAAGATAGCGTTGATCTTTTGTTGACTGTTACAAATAGTCATATTGGTGATCAAACAGCCGAGATATGGGGAGGGAAGGGAAGTGATAGCACATATGACATCATGCTCCCCCTTAGCTCATTCCATTTTTCTTCCCATCATACTGTGATGTAGCTTAGGCTCACAGATAGTTTGCATCCACACTAAACAGTATCACAATCTGGAAGGCTATAATTGGCATTTTGACCACTGTTATACCTCAAATCTTCAAATGTTTTCCAGTTTGTAAAATTAATTTAAGACATATAACCTACTTCTTATTCATATATAGATACGCCGAGATGTGGCACAAAGGTGTAAGCTTCACAGCTGAGCACTGTGCACTTGTCTACCTAGTTGATGCTGCAGGCATAAGGACAACAACTCACAATTTCTCAGACATGAGCCAGGATTTCCCATTGTCTGTATTCTATTATGATTCACACCATGGTCAGTCTCATGTCCAGGAAGCCAATTACATTTTGCAGGCATCTCAGTACTGGATTACTGATGAAGGCACAGAGAACTGGATAATAAATAATGTGCGTATATCACAGACTGCTGATGGATTGGTTAGGTAAGTCATTTTTAAGTTAAATTCTTATCTTACATACCCTGTGTTGTGGGATAAACATATCTTATCCCACAGTAGGCTTCACAGCATTGTGTTCATTTTAACAGGTTTGGGAATTCTCCCCCACCTTTCTCCAGTAAGGAGGTACCAGTATTGATAGAATAAGCCACATTTTACTCATGGTGGATCATATTATGGTTTTACTATGCTCTGCAAAATTATTGTGCATACTGTTATACAGTATTGTTTATTATCCCATTCTGAACAACTATGAAATGTTAATATACCATCTTGCATATAATTCACCCAGCTGCATTAATATTGACAAGTGTGAGTGAAATGCAACAAGTTGTAGAAGAGAGGAAATGTAGCATAGCAGAGGGAGAAGAGATATGCCCAAAAGAGGGGAGTAAGTGAAATCTCCCCTCCTAGTTCATATATTCTTTGGAGTTTCAGATATACTGGCTACTGTGTACTTACTAGTTC